CTACCTAATAGCAAATAGAATCAGCTGAAATCAAACCCCAGAACAACACTACAAACTAGTGACAATATCATACATTATTTCCACTCTTTGTTTAAAAAAAATAATGCATTGATTTGAAATTAAAATCAAATTATTTTTGCCGTGTGTCTCATTTCTAGTTGAAAAATTCAAAATAATGTTTTGAAATAAAGGAATATAAGGTAGCATCCCTCACTATTTTTGGACTGTGTAGGTGTACAACAACAACTAGACATGTGCACTGCCAAAAAATTTGTTTCGTTTCGTTTTAAATTCGGATTTGTGTTATTTCGTTTTTCAGGATTCGGGTGTGAAAGTCAATTCGGATTCGGAATTCGGATTCGGACGAAATTCGGTAGCGTTAGTACGAACGTTCGTTTCGTTTTCTGTTCTTATTCGTTTCATATTCATTTTGTTTGTTCGTTTGCAGCAAAAGTGACATGAGGGGGAAAAAATATTTTTCTCCTTCTCTAATGTCACTTTGCTCCAACGAAACGAATAAGAAACGAATAAGAACAGAAAACAAAACGAACGTTCGTACTAACGCTACCGAATTTCGGAAATGGAAATTCGGATTTGTTTGCATTCGTTATGTCTGTAATTCGGAATTCGGATACATCCGAATGTCCGAATTTCCGAAAATTCGTCCAAATTTCGATTCGGAACGAAACGAATCGCACATGTCTAATAACAACTGATTACAACCTGACAGCACAAGGTGAACTGGCAACATATAAGAGACACCTGAGAAGGACATACATAGATTTCAGTCATTGGTACACACAGCTAAATAATTGTATTTCTTTACTTAATTTCAAGGGGGTAGTAATTGGCAATTAATAACAAGAAATAAACTTGTAATGAACTGTACTAATACAAGCACTCTAGAGAATAACTTAAAAAACATGCACATTTCCACAAGGTCTGATCACAGGTGCTTCTTCTATATATTTGCCACATTGCTATTTAGTACTGTATAGAATAAAGCACCATTTGTTTGTCCTTTAAATGGCTTCCTCTTTTCTTTTATTAATATTATGTTTGAGCTTCTTAAACATTTATGGTAATCTCTTTTGTGTAAATAACAGGAAGTGTGAATATTGGATTTTAGTTTTGATTATTATGAATATTTACGGTATTTTAGCTATGGGGTGTTTTTCTGTTTTGGGTCTTTGCATCCTTTTTTGAATAAGCTATAAAAGGGGTCTGGGTTTTTTAGTTGCACCATTGTTAGTAAAAAATAAAGCTGACATCATACCATGTATTTGCTTTTTACAGTGTTCAAACAATATTTAATTCTTCATTTTATCCTGCTCCAATTATTGTTGTTATCTTACAATTTGTGTCTTTGTTATTGTTTTTTCTGACATTCTCTGTCCATGTTTGCATTCACTAAAGGACAAAGTACCAAAGCAAACCCAGCAAAGACTAAAGAATGGGTTTGAAATCAAATTAGCTAAATAAGTGTATATTTGTTCTCATTATTAAACTGTGCTTTTCTTTTTTTTCTTTAGGTTAGAAATCGTATTACAAGCATATTTCATATCTTTTTCATGGATACTGTGACACACTCTGGAACTGTAGGTATTAATTTGAACTTTAGATAGCCACCATTCTTTTTGTTAGATTTACCTTATTGAGTGTAGTTCCTCCAAAACATATTGCAGTAGTGCAATGAAGTGTGGTTGAACAGTATCACACTCATAGATAAGTATGCATTCCTGATACAAACACCTAGACAATTAATCTGCAACCAAACGGCCAACAACCTTTGAAAATAAATAACTGCACTCTGAAAAACAAATCTAGCCTTCATCCTACCTAACTATGATCAATTTTATGTGACAGTGCTGTTTCTCCTAGCAGTTATATCAGTTGCCATAACTTAGCTAACTAGCACTATGCAAAGCAGACTTTTCCATTTTGGCTGGTATAGGGCAAGTTTTATATCACTATCAGTTTTTTTCAGCAATCCAAAACACCAGCACCTTAGCACAGCCTTCAAAGGCGGAGCAGTTGTCATCAGATCTCTTTCGCGTTGCTGTCTGAAGTGCATTCCCAGTGTTTTCCGTCTGTAGATTTTGTTTAAATTCTGATTTATGGAGTAGCCTTACTGATTCTGTAGAGCTCAGCCTTCTAGTTTTACCATGGTAAAATGTATAGACTGCTATGTTGGGGATACCACTGCATTTTGTGTTTACAATTACTATGTATAACATTTGTATAAACTTATAATGATTTTATAATTGGTTTATGTACAATATTTAACAACATATAACATTTTTGAAAGTCTAATATTCTAAGTGTAAACCTGTGACCAGGATATGGGTATGCAAGCATTTACACATTCTTAGCGAGCAGCAAAAGAGCTTTAAAACAAGTCCAGACTGACCTTTGTAGTTGTGGACACTAAAGAGCAATTCATCCTCCAAGTACACAAGAAAAGCAGTGAAGTTGGGTCCCAAGAGTCTGCTCGCCTCCTGTTCCTGTGCACCTACTCTGTGTTTAAATCAGAGATTTGAAGGTTGACAGGCTGCCAAGTGGTGGGGGAACTAAATGAGCTAAGCAGCGGAAAGTGAACTGTAAACTTTGAGGATACATTGATCTACAGTGCCTGAAGCTACAGAGACTCAACACTTGTTTAAAGCTCATTTACTGCTTGTTAAGAATATGTAATATTTGAATATTATTCTATTGGGTTTCAATCCTTCATTTCTCTGGCTGATGTGGCTGGAGAAGAAGCTGGTGAAGTGTGATCTGTGCTTCATAAGGTTCTGTGGGGGCCACAGGTTACATTAGGGGCCTCATAGACCCCTGATGTCTCCATAAAGAGAACGTCTCTCATCCTCTGCATCTGGGCTTGTTATTCCCCTATGCGGTAGCAATAAAGTGAAGTTTAAACAAGTCTAATAGATGTAAAAGTAAAAAAAAACGATTTAAAATCCTTCCACTCCACGTACAAGCACATACAAATGCAAACAAGTGTCGGGTGCACCTTTGTGCAAAAATGACAATTGCACCACACATGTTACATGTCACCTCGAACATCAGAGTCAGAGCAATAATCTTAGCACCATCACTTGCTTTTAACTCTAACTTAATGAGTTGTAAAGGTTTTTAAATTGTAGCCCATGGGAATTTTGGGTACTGTTGTTTTTTTTTGCCATTTTACAGGCACATGCAATTTTAAGGCTTGGCATGTTTGGTATCTGTTTACTTGACACAACCCTATATTTTATATTTTACCAAAAAAATGGGTATTATATTCTGTTTGTGTACACTAAATGTTAGTGTATTTTTCCTAAAAAAAATTGATTTGATAAACATTTGACAAATATTGTGTGACATAAAACATTGGAACTAGCATTTTTTTTCATCTGTGGGGCCTCTGCTTTTAGAAAATGTATAATTATTTGGGGTTTTTAAGAAGTTTTCGGAGGTTTTAGGATTTTAACATGTGTGTGCAAAAACTAAAAAATATACCATGAACGTGAAGTGGTTAAAATGCAGATCCTGGACATGTTTAGCTTGAAAAGACAAACAGATATAATAAATGGAGGCACCCAACATTTATTGCAAAAAATAAAACAGACAAAATATATATATATATATTTGAGTTACAGAAATGTAAAACTGATTGATTGCAATGACTTTCATTTGTACATTATCATGGCTCTGCGTTGACTCATGGATTCCAAGAAGTAAGGGTTAAAACTTGGGTCAGGTTTTCATTACTGTTTGCCTCCTCATGAGGGTGATAATCCCTCCATTTCTGATGGTAGGCAGAGGTACAGAAAAAATTGGAAATAAGCAAAGACAGAAAAAAACTAAAAATAGTGTTTGAGGAAGGTTAGAACCTCTGACAGGGTTTTTATTGTTATGTCTTCCTATACCGCGGATACCTATTCCCTTGATATTTTTTCTGGTGTCATAGGGACAGAAAGTATGAATTAAACTACCCAATAAGGTTACAGGCAGATATGACATTCAACTCAATTCTGTACTCTGTGCAAAACTAACACAATCAGTTTTGGCTGGAGTTGGGTTTTAAAAAATTATGTAAATGTAAGATTTTGAACACCAGATCACATGCTAAAAATAGAGGTTTCATTCATTTTTATAGATTGTAAATAATGTACAACAATGTAAATTTTTATAGCTTGTAAATAATAATGCTTCTATGTCCAAAGCTGAAACATGTGACAAATTTGGAAGACCATGTCATGCCCTAAAAGGATATTTATTTCTAACCTTCAGTAATTCTGGCCTAGTCAGATAAATACACCCAATTATGCTGTGGTTTTCAATTGCAAAAAAAAAGCATAGCACCTAAAAACCAAGGAAAGCCATGTAGATGTGGGAAAAATATCCGTAAGGCTGAAATCCTATTAATCCCTATGGGCATGGTTCCCACCTGGGCGTATTTCAGCACGATCTGAAAAATGCCCTACGCGCGAAAAAAGTACTTCCGCTTCTTTTTCGCGTGTAGGGACAGATTTTAGCACGTATCCATTGGTATTCCCAAGTATGGCTCGGGGTTAATTTTCTGTACCAAAGCGGTAATCCTGAGCCACACTCAGGAATACAGCGTAGGCCTTACCTTGTCCGCGATCCCCGCTGTGTCCTCCGGCCGCTGCTGGCATCAGTTTTCCGCCAGGGAGGTTAAAAAAACGCGCGTTGAACGCACTTTTCATTGGACAGAAAAACATGCTTCAAACGCACATAAAACGCACCTATTAGGAACGTCCAGGTGTGAACCCAGTCTTAAACCCAGCAATAATATCCTTGCACAAATCCAAGTTAAGACCCCAGTTCTGCTAGGTCAGAGTACTAACTGCTAAGACAAGTTTTGCCTGCTTAGTTTCTATGTGTACTATGCTGGTGGGGACATGATTTATATTCAGATCTAAAATTCTCTTTACCATATGTAATTTGTCCACTATTATTGACATGATGTTTTTCTTAAATCATTTTTTCAGGCTATGAATAATGAAAATGAGATAACCAAATATGGTTATGACACTGAGTATTATGAAGACTCACTAAGTGTTAGCCACAATGAGGACGACAACAATGTCAGTAACATAGCTGTACTTGTTGCTCCTACTCTACTTTACATAGTTGTCTGGTTTTTGGGTGTCATTGGAAATGGCCTTGTCATTGGTATAATTGTATTCAAGATGAAGAAATCTGTGAACACCATCTGGCTTTTCAACCTGGCCATGGCTGACTTTATGTTCACATTTTTCCTACCCCTAACTGTGGTTTATACAGCCATGGATCACCACTGGATATTTGGAAAGGTTATGTGTAAACTGAACTCTTTCATTCTGGTATTGAACATGTTCACCAGCGTCTTTCTGCTGACCATCATTAGTCTGGATCGTTGCATATCTGTTATCCTTCCTGTTTGGTCACAAAACCATCGTTCCACCAGGCTTGCCAGCATTCTCTCGGCAGTTGCATGGGTTATTGGATTCATCCTAAGCTTGCCTTCTTTTATTTACCGTGATACTGTATTTGACGGTAACAATGTAATCTGTTTCAACAATTACTCAATGTTTGGTAAAAGTGATAATAAAACCCATACTACGATGATGGTAATAAGATTTGTTTTTGGATACATAATCCCACTCACCATGATAACATTCAGCTATGCTACAATTGTCTTCAAACTCAAGAAAAACAAGATTGTAAAATCCAGAAAACCCTTTAAGATCATATTTACAATCATTGTGGCATTCTTCATTTGCTGGACACCATTCCACATACTGCATGTTGTGGAGCGATACCACTACAAATTTCCACAGAATTTATTGAAGATCAGCTTGCCTATTTCCACTGCCCTTGCTATTGCCAACAGTTGTGTAAATCCTATTGTGTATGTTATTATGGGCCAGGACTTCAAGAAGTTTAAGATGAGTATTCTATCAAGACTTGACAATGCAATAAGTGAGGATACAGTGCACACACGTCTCAGTCACAGGAGCTTTACACTCCGATCTTCAGTGACAGAAAAGGACTCAACCGCAATATAACATTTTCAGAACAAGGTACAATAAAAAAAATAATGCTGGATAAGGAAATTTGAGATTACATTTGGTTAATACCCTTTAACAATAGCCACAGATAATCTGGGAATAAGTATTAGAGACTCTCCAGTGGCATCTCTCTTGTACAGCTTACAAATTGAATGTGTTTTTAGTTTAATTTACTAAACAATTAACCTATGTAAGATAATGTGGGAAGTTTATCAGTGTGTCATACTGTGGCAGGTTGAAGACCATATTATGGGAAATGGTTGTGCTTAAAGGTCTGCAAACGTCAGATGTGTTAACAAAGACCTTTTAAAAAAAATGTAACTGACAGCAATACTCACGAAAATAATTGTGAATGACAATTAATTGTGCTAACAAAAAATATATATAAACAGATAAAGTCTCTGTAATATACAGCTCCGCTTCAAAGCCAAATAGCAGAGCCTTCCAATGTTCGGTAGAGTAGTGCTTTCCTGGGGTTTGTATTAAGATCAATACATCCCCCTAATAGAGTGCGTACTCACCGCAAACTTTCGTCTGTAACAGACAGCCCCAAACGCTTTGTCTGATGGGACACCGTTACTGCGGCGTCTTTCGTATCTCGTTCTTTACCATCAGTCCTCAGTGTAAATTATTCCCACAGTCATGCAAAGAAAAAAATCTTTCATCTGGTAATAGTTCCAAAAATAGTTTATTTCAAAAAATCCCATCGGCCAGTCCGAAAACAAACGTGTTTGGTATGGTAGACCTGCCCCTACATGTTTCGTCACCACCGACGTCCTCAGGGGAATTGCAGGTTTATTTATTTTTTCTTGCACATAATTGGATGATGTAAGTCAGCAAAGCTTCACCCCATTCACTAAGCTAAAGAAAAATTCCCTTGCAAGGTAAAGATTCCCTTACAGAGGTAAAAGCCTATTTACATTTACAAGCTATTTTAGTAAATTAACCCTATACCGTCCATGAGTAATGTCTTCAGCGGACATAGCAATGAAATGTTTGCCTATTGGTATGATGTTGATAGATGCAGTCACCTTATGACCATTTTTTTTCATCCCATTCATTGACTACCTGAATGAATTCTGATGCCTGTAGGAGCTTACAAAATATACACATATATGTTCACATAAAACTGACACATTTTCATATTTGATGCTACTGTCTGCTATTTAATGTATGCAATGAATGTTATTGTATTTGGGTAATTTCTTTTTTTTGCATTAAATATACAATCACACTTTCATATATCACTTATGTTATATGTGATGTTATGTTAAATTCATCAGTCATGATGTAATTGAGATTTTTTAACATTAAAGGGATTTTGCAAAAAGTGTGTTGTAAAAGTAAAAAATGTTTATTATAGACCTACAATGCATAAATTGTTCTCAGCACACTACATAACAATTTAAAAAAAGAAATCCACTAAACATTTTTTACATCACATAGATCTAAAAAAACACTCATGGAGTCCTTTTGATACAGAAAATGTGCAAGAATGAAAAATGATAGTACTGCTGCATTACAACAACTGATGCTCAATATATCTGAGCATAAGCCATAGTAAAGTGTGCGTGGTACAATGGGAGGTGGGTAATGACTCGACACCCGGCTTCCTGATTGGCCAGCTTCCCGACCAATCAGAAAGCCAGGCGGGCAGTCATTACACGCCGCCCAGTTTCCTGATTGGCTGGGAAGTACGAGTACTCGCCCAAATACTCAGTATCGGCACTGATACCAATACTAGTATCGGTATCTGTGCATCCCTACTACTAACCATTAATTAATAAAAACTTTCCCAGAAGTGATATAGATGTTACAAATGATAAAGCAACTTCACTAATAAATCTCAGTAACATAATGAGAGTGCTGGCCAAAGTAAATATTAGTTAATTGGCAACCTGCTCCTTTACTCAGTCCTACATATCAATGCTGTACCTGTCAGAACTCAAATGGATAAAATTCACCCCTAACTTTCATTTTGGCATTAGGTCATGTAACAAGCCACATGGGCATTTGATGCACACAAGGGAAATTTGATAGCAATCACTTCCTTTTGTATTCTGTTAGGTGTCACATTGACATTAGCAAGTAAGGGACAGGCACCCAATGAATATAGCAATATTATAAACCGTACTTTAATAAAAATCTAAAAGAATTATCAAAAACAGGTACTGCAAGTATAAAAGATGTGCACACATGAAAAGTGCAAGTACAGTGCTTAAATCACCATAGATATTAAAGTTCATTCATAAATTCATAGGGGTCTATTCACGAAGCTGCCAAAGCCGATGTACGGCTGATTTCAGCCGATGTACGGCTGACATCAGCCGTACCAACCTGAAGTGAATAGCTGAACAGTGTTCGGCTCATTTCACTTCAGGTCGGTCATTCACTCGGCTGCCTACTGCAGCTTAGTGAATAGACCCCATAGTGTCTCCAAGTTTCAATCACAATGATAAAGTGCACTCTTAAAAAAAGTCCAAACCAAATCCACTTGTGTGCTCAATAAGTGAATAGTGCTCTTGCAATATAACTTCTTGACATAAAATTATTGCATTCAAAAAATCCAATATTCATTCCTCACAGCAAGGGGTGGGGTATGCTGACACCGCTACACATGGAAATGAATGCAAGGAGATAGGAGCGGAAGATTGCTGTGAGGAATGAATATTGCGCTTTTTAATTTGAGTCAATGATTTTTGATGTAAGCTGTTTTATATGATGTGCGGTCTATGCTTGTATCCTCTTGGCTCCGATGAAATGAGGGAATATGTATAAAAAAAACACCCTGGGAGATATGTTGTGGAGGAATAGCAGACTTAAAACTGGTGGGACATGAATAGAGCAAGGAGGCCAATATAAAGCAATCTAAGGTCTATCTGTAATAGGATGACCATACATTCCTGGTGAGTGTGGAAGAGTGACATGAGGTTGGATCAAGAAGTTACATTGGGAGAGCACTGTTCACTTATTGAGCACACAAGTGGATTTGGATTGGACTTTTTTTAAGAGTGTACTTGATTATTGTGATTAAAAGTTGGAGACACTAGGAACTTATGGTTGCACTTTAATATCCATGGTGATTTAAGCACTGTACTTGTACTTTTCATGTTTGCACATTTTTTTATACTTGCAGTACCAGTATTTTATATATTTTTATTATAGCACGGTTTATAATATTGCTATATTCATTGGGTGAAGATAGGTCTTAGTGCAGTGAAATAGTGTTACATTTTGTTCAAAGGTGATAACTGTCAGTTAGCAGGGTTACTACTGCTGATAAATTTGTTTGATTTATGGGATAGGTGATAGGAAGAGAGTGGATTGTACAGTATTTATTTGTACCCAGCTTTAATACTCTATGTGGTCACCGCAGGATTAAATGCTTTGTGACCCATGTCCCTCAAGTTACTAGATACAGAGGGGAATAAAGACTAATAGCAACATAAATCTTAGATTTTAAAGGTACATATATTACAGAATGTTGCTTGTTGTTGTTTTTTTAATTAAAAAAAAAATTAAACTACTACATTTAAGTAAGAATTAAGAAATTCTAAAGAATGTACACCCTAACTTGCATTATCAAGAGACAGTACCAGCTTTTTGTTATCTAAAAGAGCAATTTAGGACCTTTGTCAGTTACATGAAATGGCAAACTGCCAAATGAAATGAGATTCTTGTAAGTTTTCCATATTGTGATACAAAGAGAGCGAGATCAAGACACAAGGGAGAAACACCGTGAAGATGAGAAGACCAGAGAGAGCTATGAAGACAGGACCCTAAGACTGTGAACCAGAGACACAGAATGGATGAGCAGCCCAAAAAACACAGTAGATTTTTATTTCTTATATTTGTGTGCTTTGATCCGTGATTTAAAAAGCAGCATTTGCTTTCTGTTTCTAAATTGTTTTATGGAGCATTTCTGGAGGTTACAGATATTTTATGAAGGATTTCTGGTAGCAACAAATATTTTATTTAATACAAATATACACAATTATTTAAGGCATGTGTGCTTCTTTGCTCCACGTTCTCTAGGTGTTTGGAGTATAAACAATACACTGTACATGTAGAAGATGACTAAATTATAATTAGGGCCAATGTTGAATGGCAAAAGCAGCTTTCTTTCATGTGCATTCAGCCAACATCCATGATCAGTATAAGATGCTTTTGAGTTAATTGATAGATGTATTTATCACGTACCTGACTGGGAGACCCAATTGAGAAGGGGGCGTGCACATCTCATCCCACACCTTTGGAGGTGGTGACAGGAGATGTAAGGGCGGAGAGAGGCACAGGCGCCCGTACTGGTGGCTGGCTGGTTTTCGTAGAGACACTTGTGTGCGTTGGACCAGCTGGTGAATCTGCAGGACCGGGATGACACCAGGACCTCTTGGAACCATATCAAGCAATTGGTGTGAGGCCAGTGAAGCACAGACTAGATGAAGCTGCTCAGGGTACTGGTGAAGCAATTCACCAAGTGGCAGGCCAGGAGCAAAGTCAGGTTCAAGCCAAGGTCATACACGAGAAGCAGAATCTTGAAGTTCCAAATCACAGATCAGGAGCAGGGTCAGGAGTCATAAGCCAGGGTCATTCATTAGGTACTCCCTGATACCGAATACCGATACCGGAAGTCCCATTAAGGAAGCCAGGTGCCACGTAATGACTAGCTGCCCAGCTTCCTGATTAGCTGGGAAGCCGGCGCCATGCTACTTCATCATCAGGTGATGAGGAAGCATAGAGCCAGCTTCCCCACCAACCAGGAAGCCAGGCGATGAACCATTACATGCCGCCCAGCTTCCTGATTGACTGGGAAGCTGTCACCATGCTCCCTCATGACCAAGTGACGAGGGAGCATGGAGCCGGCTTCCTGCCCAATCATGAAGCCAGGTGGCGTCAGGAGCATTTGGGTGAGTATGGGTACTCATCCAAATACTTGGTATGCGCACTAATACAGATACTAGCATCGGTATTGGTGCATCCCTACTACTAACCATTAATTCATCAAAACTTTCCCAGAAGTGATATAGATGTTACAAATGATACAGCTTAAAAAAGCAATTTCACTAATAAATCTCAGTATATTAATGAAAGAATGCTGGCCAAAGTAAATATTAGTTCATTGGCAACTTGCTCCTTTACTCAGTCCTACATGTCATTGTTTATTGGCA